CTGCTCGCCTGGGGCCAGGCCGGTGCTTGGCTGGGGGGGCAGATGGGGATATGTGGCTGTGCTAACAGAGTGACAATGAAATCAGGAGTCAGAAGGAACCAGTTAGCCCCCTCCATCACCCCCAACATGCTCCTTGCCTCCCTTCAACCTCCCTGCTACTCACTGACCCCAAAATTCTCCCACCCTTCCTAGATGTGACCCCACAAATTGAGCCCCTCTCATCCCGTGTCCCCACCCCTTTTCCCTGCCAAGCCCTCTGCCTCCAGCAAAGGGGCTGTGCTGCGGCACTGATGGCATTTGGGGTCCATCCAGCACCTCTTGTTTGATGGTGTTGGGAGCTGGGGACAAGGGTCTGGCACTGAGGGGCTGTGTCTGTTTGTCCATCCATCACTCACCCCGATCAGCCCTGCAACAACTTCAATGGCGCCGGTGCCCACGGTGGTGTAGGGGATCTGGGACACGGGGATCCCAGCGTTCTCAAAGATGGTGTTGGTATAGAACCAGATCTACCAAGGAGGGGACTTAGCATGAGCTGGGGGGATGGAGCAGGGGGGTACTTGATGAAATGAGTTGCCAGGTCTCAGCTCAGCTTCTGCAGAGCCAGGTCCTGGGGTGAGGACCCTGCAGGGCTTACAGCATCAATCCCTGAGAGCTGCATGCCAGCATTCACCACCACCACCGAGAGGGTTTGCCAGCGAACAGAGCGGTCCCGCAGCAGCTGCCAGACGGAGACCATCTCCATGGTGGAGAGCGACCGCTGCTCCTCCTTCATCTCCTCAATCACATCCTGCACGTCTGGCGTCCCCAGGAACCGGTGCAGTGCTGTGGGGAGAGCGGGGATCACGGACACACACCTCCCCATCATGGGGCGAATGCTCATAGGTATGGAACAGGGCAGGGGCTTGGCTCTGTCCTGGCTCAGCCTCCCTGGGGACCTCCCTGACCCATGGGGCTGAGCATCCACAAGAATCAGGAGATGCCTCACACCATCATGATGGGCACCATGGAAATACTATGGCACAACTGGGTGGGACAGAAGGGCTGAACCATAAGCACTATGGTGGGCTGTCAGGACTGGATGTGGAAGGACGCTGCAAGGATGGACCTAGGTCTTGGGAGACCTTGGTCTCCCCCAGGACACCTCCTCACCTTTGGTGGCCCCATAGACATCGTTCCTCTCTATCAGCAGGTACCGTGGGCTCTCGGGGAAGCAGTGCAGCAGCAGGAGCTGGAGGGAGGCAGGAACAACCACCACTGACAGAAAAAGGGGCCAGAACCTGTCCTGAGAGGAGTTGCAATGGGATGTATCACAGGGAAGGCAGAGCAGGGTCCAGCATGCCTGGGTTGAGGTATGGTGCTCACCTTGCCCAGCAGCTCTGGGAGGCCCAGAACCTGTGCGAAGAAAACCCCCAGGCAGATGAAGATGCTGGGCACAAGGCCCAGGAAACCCCGTAGGTTCTTGGGGGCGATTTCCCCCAGGTAGAGGGGCACCACACTGAGACAAATACCTGGTGGGACAGGAGGGACAGGATGAGAGAGGCAGAGGGGACAGGGTACCCAGCCAGACCCTCTGTACATCTCCTCCTATGCTCAGCATCATCCACAGTGGGGACCCCATGACCAGGGAGGTGGCCCTGTCTGCCCCATGGAGATCCTCACCAGAGAGCCTGTGACTATGAGGAATATGGTGTCTTCTCCAACCCCCTGGGAATGGGCTGTAGGGGAATCAAACTGTGAGGAAGAGGCTGTGCGCAGCCCCACAGCACCTACCTGAGTGGAGCCCCATGATGGAGCGGCCGATGATCACCATCTCAGGGGACCCCAGCTCTCTGCTGAAGCCCATGAAGCCACCAGCCAGAAGGACAAGGAGGGTGCTGCGGCTCAGTGTGCCGTTCCTAGTGGGGCACAAACAGCAGGGCAGCCCCTCCAGTCCTGACCTGTCCCTTGACCACCCTGTCCCATGCAACCTCCTTACCTGCCGTACCGCTCCACCATCACCCCCACCAGCAAGGAGCCCACTAGCCCACCCAGGGCAAAGATGGAGACAGTCAGGGAGTAGAGGAGGGTCAGGGGGCCTGGGGCCAGACTGTGCCCGTACCGCTGGAACCATGTGGCATTGTAGAAAGCCTTTATGTGCTGCGAGGCAGAGAGAGACACATGGGCACCAGATGAGTTGGGAGAAAGGGGAAGACAAGGGAAGCCAGGCCCCATAGGGAAAATGCTGTGGGTTTAACAGCATGGCAGGAGGTGCAGGGCAGGACGTGACTGGGGATGACAGGGATGTGCTTGTCTGGTTGCTCAGCCGGCTTCAGCACCAGAGGGGCTTAATGACAACTTAGAGATGCTACAGGCAGAGCTGGAGCTGGATCAAGGAGGTTGTTGGGAGCTTTCCCCAGCCCATGCCTTCCAGAGGGGGACAAGTTTGGGGGGCTACAAGAACACAGGCTCTCATGTCCCTCCCATGCTGTCCCTCTCCTCAGGCAACTGCCCAAGGGAAATGCCAGTGTTTTGCTGTGGGGCTGCTGGGTAGTGGTCCCAGGGAGGGACACAGAGCCCTACCCCTAATCCCGGGGAGGTTGACATTCCTTACCACCGCCGGTGAGTTCACCACGGCCAGGTTGTAGCCATAGAGCATGGAGGAGCCAAAGGACACCAGGAGAGTGACCGACAGCAGGGGGAAGGTGAGGTGCTGGGAGAGAGGAGGAGGAATCAGCACAGCCCTGGCTGGCAGAGCCAGGGGCCAAGGTCATGCATGGCAAGAGGTGTGTTGGGTCATTGCCCCTTTTCTAGTAAGGATGCCCCTGGCCCAAAGCAAAGACACAAGTATGGCCCCGCTGTACTGAGTACCACTTCATGCCACCACCAGCACCCAGTCTGGCTGATCTGGCTTCCCAGTGGCTGGTCTCATAGCTGTGGTGTGAGAGTTTCCCTGGCAGTGGCCCAGCTCAGGCTGCCTGTCCCAGGCACCCCTGTCCCAGGGCTGGCAGGGGACAGTGGGCAGAAGGGGGCAGGGGGAGGAGGGAGAGACACTTGTCCCCTCCTGTGGATGGGGGTACCCCAATGGCATCTGTGAGCTGCCCCACAAGTACTTGCCTGCCTGGGAGGCCCAGCACCGCTGAAAGGTGCAGTTCCCCATGGTGGGTCCCAGCCCTCCCAAAATGTCATATGCACCTATCTTCTAAACCCCAGCCCCCCCCAGAACGCCACAT